ACTTCGTAAATGGTTTCAGTGTCATCCGTAAATAATCAGATTTCTTCGTCTTATGATAGCGAGATATATTACCACAATACTGCGCAATATAATGCGTCAATATACGACCATTTATGGTCGTTCATGAGTGTGTCTATTTGACCTAGAATGCTTTTAGAAGTGACCATGGCTTTAGCTAAATTGTTGAATACTTCAATTCGCTGTTCAAGATTTTATTGCATGAAGAGATGATGCCGCAATTATTTAGGGTTACCGAGAGTATCTAAGCGTAAAATTCATGTAAACTAAAATCTCATTTCTTTAATAATCTGATAATATTAATTTTTACAATGGAAATATCAGTAATATCAGTAATTGTAAATAACTGTGTTCATTTTTATTTTATCTTTATCAATCAATATATATATATACATGTCACATAAGTTTCATTCCCAACAGGAAGAAGAATTAGAATATGAATAATTAACAAAATGAATATTTCCAATTTCAAAGCGTTTATTTAAAATCTTCAAACTCTGATTATTAAGTCGCTAAGATCAGTACGGTACTATTTGTGATCACATGCCATATACAGCATTCCAGTCACTCGACATACATAAATATAGGAAGAAAAATTATTCATTCACTGTACGTAGAACTTATTCGGCTTTAAAAGTAGAATGTTACGAACAGTATTAAAAAGAAGCAGCATATTACACATAGGTTTTTCTTCCTAAACAGAAACATCTAGTTTAATAATATGACCCAGTGACTTCGTAAAAACGATTCTTTGGCATACGCCAAGCGATCTTTAACATTTGCCCAGCACTTTGCTAGAAGTGCGTTCCAAGTAACATGCGTCTAGATCCATATCTCTATTTCATCAGCCTAGGACGTGGTGAATCGATTGTCGACGAAGGTTACTTGTAGGATAATTGAGCTTATATGTACAGGGTGTAACAAAATTTTAGGCCCTCCTGTACTTTAGTCAGAAAAATTCATCTTTAAATTTGAAAAGATATCGAATTGTTTATTATATATGCTAGTAAGATAGATGTGTTCATGTGACACATAGACAACTCCTCCTCCGTTGTGAACTCGCTGTTGAGAACATTCAAATAGAGTCCGATCATTGCGAAACCATCGTATATAGATTCGATTCTTTCGATTTAATATTTCAAAATTACTTTCATTGAAAAATATCACATTCGATCAATCTTTCACTGTGCGGCTCAAATGTTCATAACACTATTGAATTCGTTTACGTCGTTGTATTGAAGTTATCCGTGGTTTCCTTGGTGCGATGTAGGAAATCATATCGAAATTTCGAAGAATACGGCTGACAGTTTCACGACTAACCGACAAGTTCAAATTGGTATGAGCATATCGTACGAGATCATTCAACGAACAAGTATCATCACGAAGTTGCTGAAGTTTAATCGCTCGTTTTTGACGGTCTGTGAGTTTGAAAGGACGTCCAGAATCAGGTTTTGTAGCTACTGTATGAAATTCATCAAATTTACGAATGATTCGACGAATACATTGACGAGAAACCTTTAATCGACGAGAAATTCCATGTGTCTATGTGTCACATGGACACACCTATCTTACTAGCATATGTACTAAACAATTCGATATCTGTTCAAATTAAAAGATGAATTTTTCTGACTAAAGTACAGGAGGGCCTAAAATTTTGTTACACCCTGTATAAATCTAATAAAAATCAAGGTTTATCTTAGTGCAGTTTCAAGCAGGTTCGAAATTTGCGATAACATCTGTGAATTTTCCGGTTATCTAACATCTCAAGAGGCCTTGATTTTGGCCTCATCATATCATCACCGAAATGATGTCCTCCAAATACTGTTCCGTTTAACAGGAATATCTCAATAAAATTATAGTTATGATAGCAGAAGAAATTTGTGATATAAACAGTATTATATGGAATCTATGATACACATAAAGACTTCAAGGAAACTCAATTATGACAGTAGCCGATGATAATTTAAAGATTTTTTCGGAAGAACGTTTCCTTGCACATACACGCTACTGTTTTAAATACTCTTTAGTTTTAATCAGCATGAATATCACGATATAGTTCAAAAAAAATCATCGGACTATGATTATTGAGTAAGGAGTTCGAATCCCACGGGCAACAAAATATATTTTAATGACCGAAAGTATCATGAATTTCGACTGAAATATTAAACCACTACACTCAAAAAAGAGCTGCAACCGCGATTTCAGATTTCAATGAATAGAATAAGTACTACACTGTTTACTAGGCTTTTGAAAATTTGCGATTTCCGACGATTTGCACAAATCTAAAAAAAGCCGTCCTACTGCTGTAATGCACATAAACCCCATCGGAAATGTGACTTTTCATACTGCGATCAGTCTCAGTTTTAATCAAAAGTTCTTTTCGTGGGTAGCTTTGTGTCTTCACCTTCGTCATCATATGGTAGCAGATAAAAGTTTTCGAATCTAAATGTTAAATAAGTACAGCAAGCGAATGTTTCGTTGCAAAATACTACATTTAAAATATTTTCATAGTCTGAAGAAATTTTTTTCTTAAAAATGCAACAGCAAACACCTCTAATATTAAAATAAAATATATATTTTCATTCACAGATCAAACTCCTCAATTAGATGTTTGGCAGAATATTGGTGCATCTAGCAACGAATTAAATCAATCATATACTGCATCCGATCCTTCGAGGTAAAGATCAAGCAAAATGGATTTTTTGAAAATAGGATTATCTATGCGTACTTTTCGATATATTTAGTGGCAACAATAAAGCTGCATTATCTTCACGATTTACGAAGATACATGTTATTTTTCTATTCATTGGATTATTTATTTTCGTAATATTGTTGGTTGCGATGATCACTTTGTATGCTAACTTACCAGGTAAGACGACGTCTCTGCATGAAAAATGGGAGCGAGACCGCGGATAAAAATGTATGTTTTAACTGTTGGAAATACAAACAGCATTGAACATGCAAACCTTTACCAATCTTGCAACCTATTGTACGAAATTTCTTAACAAAGAAAAAATGAAGTTTCCATCGTCTTGTACTATTAGAATAATGTCTTATGCTTTTCATTTTTTGCAGCGTCAACTGTTCGATCTGCTACTATTCTTCCGCCGCAATGTTTCAGTTACACAACTGATGCCGACTCAACACGTCTCCATACGTATACATCGTCTTGCTGTGGAGCGGATCATACTCTAGCAGCCGGATGGTATCGATTTACAGGCAGTGGTGGTACACAACTTGTTACAAGCCAGTTGAGTACAACCAGCATCTGTGGTACCTCTTATCCAGGCTGGTGGAATGGTACCCTGCCAATGATGGCTGGTGCAACTACTGTGGGAAATGTTTGTTTTTTTAATGGTGCCTTATGTAGCAATCCTGTTTCACCGATAATTGCGACCAATTGCGGTAGTTACTTTGTTTTTTATCTAGTACCGGTTCCATGTTGTTCGTCGTACCGCTATTGTACAACGCCATGAGAGTCATAACATTACGAATTACTTAGTTATAGTCGTTTGTTTTGGTTTACATTCATACAAAACTAAACCGTAACTTGAACATTGAAAACTGACTTATGAACGATTTGGTCGGTTTTCTCTTGAGACGAGCAACAATCTATAATAGCTTTTGCTTATGAATATAAATGGTACCTGTTGAAAAAACAGTATCCACACGCATATGCCCTATTCGTTGCTGTTACCAGTGAGCATTGATTTCGAACGGCCTCTAAAGATGTTTCGGTTTAGGGACAAAACGGCGGGGTGTGCATGTGGGCGTATGTGGAATGTGTGAGTGTGTGGTGGCTGTGGATGCGGGAATGAGTGTGATTAAGTTGAACTTCCACACCCACACCCACAAATACAGTGCTAATTCACAACAACACAAAATTCTCTTTTCAAAACACGCGGTTTTTCGTGTTGGTGAAATTAAATAAGCAGTTGGCAACAATCGCCTATGGGAATTTCAATTAACTCTTACAGCAGACAATGATCCAGAAGTGGCTGCTCTTACTCAAGGCATACGAGAGCAAATCGGCAGAACCGGATGGAATCGAATTGTCCAACTAATGCTTAAAGTAGGTCAATTGATCTAGCTGAAGAACTTTACAACAATTTACTCAACAAGTAACGCTCGTCGCTTCGACTCACTTAGCCCTCGACTGAAGACTTAAATTTATTTACATATCATTTGATTTTATTTCTCTAAAATAACTGATGTCAACATCACATATAACTAAGTATACGTGTTACAATACTATGATCCTAATCTGTAATAGTATAGTAGACTTAGAGTTTTAATTATTCTCAGAATTAAAATCACATTTTGCCTTGCCTGCTTATATAGCTAAGCATTCTCAAAAATAGTGCCGTGGAATTCTCTCTTGTGCAGCACAATAGTTAGAAAAATGTATTGACTGGTTTCATGTCTAAAAAATATGACTAAAGATTAATCTTTTAATGAGAATGTATCAAAGAAAATAAATAATAGGCATACTCAACTGCGTCATATTATTACGTGCTTTGATGTTTGATCGTTGACCCGACGACAAGCAAACAGACTATTTTTTTTTCAAATGACCCTCCCTTCAGTCGAGGAAACAACGTTTATTAATATGCACGAGCTCCTCAAAATCTGATTGAACAAGGAATTCATGGTGTGGGTGCGAGTGCGTGAGTGTGGGGATAGTTCTTGTGTACACCCACACCCTTATGAATATTATTTCTTGATTATATATTTCATGTAATATTTTTCTAAAAAAGAAAAGAAAAAAGAAAAGATTATACCAACGACCAAGCGCATTTCAGAATTACAAAACAAACTTATTACAATTTACAATATAATTTCTTTATCTTTATTTTTTTTATACCAATAAGTTAATGGACCATTTGTACAAAAGACCAAAAAAAAACATTAGGCCAAAAATAAAAGAAACATGATTGTATAATTTTATATAGGATTTTTTCTTAATCATAAGTCATCTCTATTTATGAAAAGATACATTCAGTACCGGATGTATGTGGATTATTCATGAATGTTCTCATGTATGATCGATGTATCTCACGTAATTCATCACATAGACGCATACGCATTTTGACATCATTAGCTAAATGTTGACTTAAGTGGTTTACAATAAGTGAACGAACTTGAGCTCCACTCGGACGACGATTAAACGACGTATGAGATTTATCACAAAGAAATTCACACAGTGCTGGATAACGAGGAATTTGTAGTAAATAAGATTTAGCATTATTATTTTTTTTAGCTTTTTGTCGAATAATATTTTGTAAAATTACTGGTAAACGAGTTGTCTCATCATCTTTCTCTTCATTTTGATCAATATCTCTATCAGCTATAAGTAAAAAATAAAATATACATTACATATAATAAAATTTGAGGAATTTATGAACTATTATTCAACGGAGTGTAGTCTATTTTATTTTGGCTTAATACTCAAATTTTGATGGATTCATAAAGATATAGTTAGATAAAATATTAAATCATAATAAAACATTGTATTAAACTATTCATCGAGAAAATAATGTATGTGAGATCTAGAAATGTCACAATCATGCATGTTTTAAGTGATATGTTATGATCTAATAAAGAAAAATATATTAAACAGAAAAAGAAAGTCATACTTAAGCTAAAGAGAAACATTGAACTGGAAAATTATTAAAAACTTGCTGTCTTCTTAGGACTTTCTCAAATAGCTAAGATGTTAGTTATGAAAATATTAGTTAGACTGGAACAATTACGATATTTACACATGATTAGTTAGAACTTGCTGAGTTTTAGAAAAATCTCTTTATCTAAAAGAAGAATTATATAAATGGAATAGATTCGACTTTTTTTTCAAGTATTTCTTCTCTTGTAGAAGCTTGAAATGATTACTTTTAGACTTAGCACGTAAAACTACGTTTAGAAACATGAATTTGAGATTGTTTCCACTAGAATATGATAAGAAACGCATATGTGTTTTGTTTGGCTTTTCTTTTTTGAACAAATGATGTACAATTTAGAAGGGTCAAAACGATTTTTGGAAAGGTACCGTCCGGTTTTGAATTTACCGAAGAGGCACTGTAAGGAGGTCGCTCTTTCTTCTTGAAAGTTTAAAAAGTTTTTCTCTACAGAAAATGCCAAACATGAGCCGATACGATTTCTCATGGATTTCAAAACACATTTTATAATCATGATCACTTCTTTTTCATGAAATTTGAAACCTATCATTCGTGTCATCCTAAGCTGCCTACAGCACAGAAACGTATTAGATCTAGAGGACAGTTTCCATAAAAAAACTATCAACAGACCTATAATAATTATGCTAAAAACCGAGTATTGACTATTAGTTAACTTATAGTTCTAATGAGGCGACTATGGCTGAATAGCTACATGTTAATAAACAGTTGCTCTTGTCGTTGTTCATTAGTGGTTATGAACAGCTCAAAACTTCTGCATTAGGCTAGTCTTGTTTTCAGAACTACAGCTAGCAATAGTTATAAGACCGATATCGGTCTACAGAACGTATTACTAAGCACTATCAAATACCGAAATGTAGCCGAAAGGCATGTATAGTCTTTTTCTTTTTCTGTACAGTTCCAATATGCGTACCGATTTTGTGGACGTACCCATATGTCTTCGTTCATGTCTTCATTTGTTATAAATGTGGAAGTGAAAAATATTATTGATTGCGTGTTATGATAACTTTCAAAAAACCTTGAAATTGTCGTGATTCTCTACTAGTCCTCGCTGTCAGTTGTATGGTCCAGAGAGATTTTTCTTCTTTCTTTTTCCAATTTGGGGTTTTCATGGAAGAGAGAAGAGACAAAATTTGATTAACATGTTGTTAATTAACTCCAATAGAAGTCAGTTTTTTAATTTTTAAGATAAACTTCATTTGATTTCAACCTTTTTTTTTGTTCAAAAAAACAATTATTTTTCTTCTAATTTTTATATAAATTATGGATCTAACAATTAGCAAAAATCGGCAACCTTTATTGTGCACATGTTTGAAAACTTTGAAATAAAAGCTGAACATTTATTCGATTTCATAACATTCTTCATCTACACACAAGATCGAATGCAATATGTAAGATGAATGTCGTTAAAGTGCAACAATATAACTAAGTCTAGTAGCTGATTGAATTCTTTGAAACTGATTAGCAATCATTTTGACTAGTAAAAGTTTTTTTTGGTAACCAATAAATAACAATATTCTAGTAAAAGATTGCAACAATTGGTTAGTTTGATTGTGTAGAAATCCTTTTTGTTAGAGATATATATTTTTAATAGTGTCATTCTGTGTTGAGTTGATCTGAACTAGCCTATCAACGAATGACCTGTAACTTACTCTTCACTAATTAATATTTCTAAATACGGTTTCATATGCTATACCTAAAACTCACCTTTTTCGTCATTCGACAATAAGAATTTTGTAAATTTTATTTTAAAGAAAATGTTAATTCATAGTTTTTATAGAGATCAACAAGGTCTAGCATATTATGTATAAAAAAATTATTCACCAAAACATTAATTTGAATTAGTAAACTAGACCGACTCTCTACGACAAAACTTACGAAAAAATATTCTCAAGTCTCAGTTCTACTTATGTTTTTTCTAGTAGTTCGTAATTAAGTCTAGGTAGATCTAGTCTAGTCTCAGCTCTTAAATATTTTAGTTTTTTCAGGTGCCGATTTGTAGAAAACTACTCCAGGATTCGTTCTTAAATTTCAATTGAGAACAATTTGTTTCATAGGTCTGTTCTTAATTTGAACCACTTCTTCTTTCCACTTAGAAATTTCTAATTTACAATCTAAGTCCTGTACATCTCTAGTCAAGAACATGTGTACAATGTTTATTTTAATATCCTATGAACGCCTAAAAAAGGCCTCATTTTTACAACTTACTCCTTATGAGATATCGAATTCTGACTTGAAATTCTACATACATGGACACTATAAGTGACTTAACTTGCGTAAACAATTTCAAAATATTGCAACTTTTAAATCTTGTACATATTATGTTCGAAAATGCTTATACAGGCTAATCTTATTGAGATGTTTATGTCAATGAAATCTTCCTAAGTCATTCATAATTCATTGGGATCTGTATGAACTATAGTATCGACACAAAATCCTAATAGTAAGTATACCTATCCTCTAGCCAATTACTTTTAGAAAGCTAATAAAACAAACGAATTTTTTCTCTCGTCTGATAAAAGTGCTTATTTGTAATAATAAGAATAGTACATAAAACTCAAAGGGACTTTTTTATTGACTTTCTGGAAAAAAATCATTTCCTTTTTCTTTAATTTCATGTTCTGATTGATTATCATCATTTGTTGTTTCAAATTCATATGGATCCATCGCCATGAATAGTTTATCTTCATTGTTTTCATCATTCATAGTATCACTACCATTGGCATTATCACCATTATTAATATTATCACCATCGTCGCCTTCATGACAATCATTATAATTATTATCGCATGTTATTTCTAATCAAAAGTCATCTTTTACTTTTTTTCGTTTTTTAAATATCGTATGAACTTACTAGTAAATCGACTGTCATTACCATCAAAGTTTTCTGTATCTTTAATATCGCATATAATACGAACTAAAAAAACCAATCTTTGAAAAAATATCAATAAACTAAAAAATTAAACTAAACTAACGATTTTTGTTGTGTCTGCTTCGTTTTATTGTAGAATGTGAGGTATTGACTTAATTGTTTTTTTAGTTTTGCATTAACTGCTAATAACCGTCTATATTTTCGATAGATTTTATTGGCATATATTTCATTTATTTCATTAGAAGCATTGGTTATTTCGTCAGTTAATTTATAAAGTTCTGCAACACGTTTTCGCGCTTTTATGTCGATGGCTATCGAATGTAAAAAAGAATAGGTACATATACGTATGTATATAGGAAAAAATATGATTCCCACCTGAATCTGACCTAGGATATAACCTCGTTGTGCTCATACGTTGTTCCATCGTGTATTGTCGGAACTGAATTAATACAAAACAACAAACGATCTTCCGAGTTCTATTTTGATTAATAGATGTCACTGTTAGTTATTCTACAATTAAATTTATTTCTTTGAAAATACAAAGGAAAAATTTAAAAAAAAATAAATATGTGCCAATTTACATTTAATTTCTTGTCAAATAATCTGTTGATATGACAACAAACTAATCAATAAAACAATATGATGGCACTTTTCGATAGTTTTCTTTTATACAAAATCGCAACATAACGTATCCAATACGACACGGAAAAAAATAAAGCGACTTGAGGGTGTGGGTGTTACTGCAGGCGCTGTGTGAGTGCAGGTGTGGGTGTGAGTATGAATGAAGACAAGATTCACACCCACACCCGCATCCATACCCAGCCGTCGTCGCTGGCGATCTAGTGACCTATTGCTGCTACTGCTATAGCAAAACCAACCGCATCATATTTAGCGGTTATCGTCTCCATTCATGTAAAAACTCCAACCAGATTACAACTTACCGTTCCTGCAATTGTTGAGCAAATGTGCGATATACATCAACTCAAAAGCCATTATTTCATCATGCACCCCACTGACACTCATAGAAAAAGGAGTTTTATTTTTTTCTTTATTTTTTCCTTTCTTTTCTTTTTCTGTTTTTCTTTACTCTTCGTTCTCTTTTACTGTCTGAGCTTCTATAATGCGATTGCTTCTTTTTTCTTCTTTTCTTCGCGCATCATACCTTTCTTTCTTGCTGAAGAAAGGACACCTCTATCACAAAAAAGAAATGCAGTCAAGCTATAATAAGATAAAAGTATGTCGACGTCATTTCAACATTTTCATTGTTGTTTTACTCAAGATAGTGGAAGAACATGCAAAAAGAGAAGTTTCTAGATGCTTTTAGGAGCTGCATTCACTCTATAGAAACATGCGCACAGGTAAAGTATGCATGGCGCCGGTAGATTTCACGGAATCCATTTCTTTTTCTTCCGATAGATATAGTGTGTGTCATGATGGAAGCAGACATTATGAAATTTTTATCGAAGAGAGGCCCTCTACAAATATCATAGGCAAAAATTCTGTTTTATTCAGTTTGCTTAAAGAAGAATGCTTTGTAGTTTTTAACAAGCTTTCAATTTATCTGCTGTTGTTTCAACCCTTTATCTTCTGATGAGTCATTTTTTATCCATTCATAGAAACCGTATTTTTGCAGTAATGAAACATTGGAGCAAGACGGTTCTTAAAAGTTATGCGTAGCCCTTAAGAAGCTATAAATTTGTAAAAAATTAAAACTTTTTTATCGACCTTTGGCGAAGATATATCAGTCAAAAAATGGTGATTTTTCAAAGAAGTGAAAAAATTCGATTTCTTTTTGTTTTTTTGGTTTTTTTATACGCACGGACTGGTAATTTTTGTGTTTAAGAGGCTAATTATATATCACTCAGGGCATCATCTATTTAAACAAACGCTTAGAAAAAATTATTGATTCGAAGCCTGGAAACACCATTCTTTGGAATAACATGGGCCAAAAATGATCCATTCGTATTGAATGATATTAAAAATGCATTTTTCTGCAGATATTTTGATTTTGGTATAAACTCATGACTAACGATATTTTCATGCTAAAAACATTTATTATAACTAGTAGCCATTTAGAAAACAATCCACGATGGTTTTTAAATAACTTTCTATTGATAAAACATACAAGCCTGCAGCTTTTATTGTAACTTTCCTTCTTGTCCAGGTCATCAAAATCTTCTCTTTCTTCAATTCTCATCGTTTGCTGAGCTCGCAGTGTTCATATAACACACCATCGTGTATATACATATCAATCATCTCTTGCATTATATCAATGTGCATTAATAGCGCTATTACATAGTCTTATACGTAAGCGAGCGAGAATTCTTTCTCATTCGTTATACACAGACAGTGATGACCTTAATTGTATCTTTTCTAATGTTTCTCTTTTCCATTTCCTTCTGTTCTCCCTCGCCCATCTATCTCATCTATCTCGTTATCTGTTCTTTTCACTCTTTTTTATTCTCTTCATCTAGCGATAATCTTTTTGATCTATTTCTCGAATTTAACTTACCGTGTATGTGATTATGTGACATTACACAATTGACAAAGAAAAGAAAAGTGCTTCCTCTTTTTTTTAATTATATATCAGAGATATACTCTTTGTGGGTATGGGTAGGTATGGTTGTGGGTGTGGATAGTTATGGGTATCGGTGTGGGTGTAGGCGTGAGCGTGCGTGGGTGTGAGGTGCGGGTATGAAGTGTGGGTGTGAGCGTTGACTTTCTCTTCACGCACGAGGACACGCACATGCCAGCCACACTTCACATCCACTCCCCACGCCTGCACACTCATACCCCACACCCACACACCTACATCCATGTCCACATCCACACCGGCATCCACACCCACACCCGCACTCACACATCCATGCTCACACCAACACCCACAACGATCCTGCACTATTGTCAAACTCTTTGTCACATCAACGAGTCAACTGATTTTTGAACGAATGGTAATTCAGAAAAATTAGTAATTAACTTCCTTCAGTAAGCTCATCTAAGTAGCTTTCAATAGTGACTGGTTTCTGGATACGAGAAAGAGTACTAAATCAGATTTTCTTGCATTGTTGGATAAATATAGTTGCTATGATGTACATATATAATCTATATAAATTTAATGAATATTATTAGTAGATACATTTATTTCAGATTAACACTGCTTATAATAATGACCGGAATAATAACTAATACTAGAAGTTGGCCACGACGTAAGTTGGCATTAGTGATTGGTATCAGTGACTATGATGTCGAGGAGCAATTAGAGAATGCCAAAAATGATGCCATTGATATGTCATCCGTACTCAAAAGAATTGGTTTCATTATTGATAAACCAAAACTAAATTTAAAATGCAAAGATATGGAAGTTGTTCTGGCTAAATTTAAATATTCAATAAATTCAGGAGATATGGTCGCATTTTATTTTGCTGGACATGGATTACAGTGGGAAGTACGTGCTTAAGTTTTTCCAATCTAAAATTAAGCTTAAAAAATTTATAAACGTTGCACTAATCATTTATGAAGTGTTTTTACAACTGTAATAAACTGTAACCTTTATTAAACATTTACACCAAAATAGTTAATAGACATTTTGACACTTACCAGAGTGATTAATTTAGCTTCGAAGAATACGTGACACATTTTGAAAATGTTTACAGAGTTTGTAGATGTACATTTATTTTGTTTGTAAGTCGTTATAGGGTTTGTAATTTTCGGTTTGCAGTTTTCTTCAATGAACTTTTCATTTTCCCAATGATAAATCTATGTACAATTCTTTTAGGATCAAAATTTTCTGTTACCAAAAGATTATGTTCACAACAAAGATACAACATTACAAAATCGTGCAATCCATGTTCAATCCTATCTTTATGCTTTTAATGGTCAAAATCCATTTGCAACAATCTTTCTATTGGATTGCTGTCGATTCAATTACCAACGTAACCATGAATTAACCAAAGCTATTGCTGTGCGTGGTTCTTTCATAGATCGCGGTTCAGTTGATAATCTGAATACAAATTCCAACGACGAATATTTAGTAGCATTTGCTTGTGCACCTGGAACAACAGCAGCTGAAAAGCTGAAGACAAGACAGGAACGAAACGGCTTATTTACGAAACATCTTCTGAAACATATTGTAACACGTGATCAAGACATTATAACTATACTAGAAGCTGTTATCAAAGGAGTAAGGGAAGAATCGAACAGATTACAAAAACCAGAATGTACGAGCAGTTTAACACGCAAGATTTTTTTACATACTCAAGTTTTGCGTAAGTAGAATATTGAATTAATTGTAGCAGATAGTAACATTAGTCCATTCTCATTGTCAAAATGTGCAAGATAAATAAGGTTTTTGACAAGTTGCTCTTATTCATATCATACCGAGCTGAAAATAGTGTACTTCGATGCTACGGGTTTTTAGAATTAGTAGACTATTTTGTGGCAGCCTGCATATAGGTCTTCATTTGAAAGTAAGAGTATGAACATTTTAGTAGCGAAAGTTTTTTAATTTTTCGTTGTCTTCATCTCATACATTTTTTTATAAATTAATTAGCCCTACAACCATATCGGTCCTAAAGGAACAATCGAGCTCAATGACTATTTGCAAAGATAATGGATTGAAATGAAATAAGGTAATAGAAAAAGATAAAAAGAAGTTAACAAACAAAAGAACGAAAGGAAAGACAGACAACGATAGACAAATGAAAAACGAAAAGAAAAAGAGGAAGTCTTCTCTTTACTCTTTTCATTTTGTTATTGTTCTCTTCTCTTTTTTTGTCAACCTGACCTATTCACAGTCAATATTAGAGTCTACTGCATAAAGCTCTCTGAAAATAAAGCAAAATATAAAAATTATTCCACATTAGATACTAGTATGGGATATGAAATTCCTTGCGTTATCATCCATCTTAGTGCTTGCCCTAGTACATCTGTGTGGGCACGAATCATTTTGATCTATGTAGATAGCATATTCTTCTTGCTCCCTCTTGTCATTCTGATCTGTGAGAATCCAATTCTGATCGTTCCAATAACAGGAATCTATCTCTAGTCTTCAACAACGCCTCTGTATATTTTTTCCAATAGCTATAGCAAAGTTTGTCCAACGATTTTTTTCATTATAAATATACGAGAAGAAGTTATTCCAGTATTGACAGCGATATACTCGTTTAACGACGTGCAATATAAATGGAAAAGGTCCATAAGTTGGAACTCAGTGGATAAATGGTAAATCCCAAATAACCACGTGAAATTTGTTATTAGGAAAGTGGAAAAGAGAACTCGTCGTAGCACTGTATCGGGGATGCGCCATTTATTCTGAACGAATTCTCCTGTGCTGTTTGCCGGCGAATCTTTGGGCGATTCTTGCCAATGACATTTCCCTATTCTAGCCTTGTCGTCATACAATAGTCCAAGTACTTGAATGAAGGAATTCACTCGATCGAATGATCTTCACAGCGAGCCTATGGCATAGGTTTGGATAAAAAACGGCCCAGGCCGAAAACATAACTTATATTCTCGAATGATTGCTTGACTGTACCACTAATATGGAGTAGAATTTAAGTTGCTCAAAGAACGTTTGTAGTTGGCGTTCGAGATCTACACACTGATCTGTAAATCTAATTCCAATTTGTCCCTCTAGTACGGCTGCCAGATCGTCTGCGAAGAAAAACGACATTGGCCTAGGGATAAAGTCCGCCATATCGCTGTAGTACTTGATGAGTAATGTAGATGTTAAAGTGGAATGTTGGAGACCACCTCGTTTAATAGTAATCCATCTTGATCTTTACCTTGTGCCTCTATAGTTGCATGACTATCACTTCGCCACGCTTGAATCCAGTTGATAAAGTCTCTCAGAATTCTCATTTTATCAAGCTTTCCAAAACATCCTTTATACCACAATTGATCAAAACATATTTAAGATCTACGAAGAATGTCACGACTGGAGAACTATTTGATATGCAAGACGAGATTTGTTCAATGACTAGCTACACAAGTGTTTGGGATCTATGTTTTGCACGAATGTTCGATTGATTATCAGGAAGCATACATTGATCTTTTAAGATGTGCAGAAAGCAATTGAGGAACAGTCTTTCTCGCACTTTCAACAACCAATCGAGCAGCAAGATCGGTTTTGTCTGATCAGGTGTACATATAGCATTTTTCTTACCCAGCAGTATTATTCTTCGTTAAACTCCATTAGGATGTAGCCTTTAGAAAAGGAATCATTATACAGCTGAACAAGCAGATGCCAGTATGTGCCGATAGGCACAATGCGCTTACAACATATTGTCCTTGTACGATGTCATCAATGTTAGATGTCATCCTTGAATAATGCAACTCTTGCGTGATGTAACCTTCTTAGCTGATGAACTCTCGTTCTTGTTTGGTGTTGTAATATCTTTCTCGTTTTCTCTTGTGTAACTTCAAACATTCTATACGTATATTTGTATCTTCTCTTCTGTTATGTGACCAAGTAATCTAAAGTAATTAGTATATAAGGGTGTGTAATAGAAAAGAACGACTCAACTGGATAATGTAGTAGTGGAGTTAACATTGTACACTGAGAATAACGATAACACTACTCTTCCAGTTCATCATTGTGATCACAATAAAATAAATGCTGCAGCAGTAACGAAAATAAATTAACCATCTCTATCATCTCTTCTATTTTTCGTTACACAGTACTTTCTAGAAATTTTAACTAACATCTAGAGTCGGAGTCTATGAATATCCAGTGATTGGTTGTTCTTTCTGGTACGCAGTACATAGAATACTTTCAGATGAGCCGCCAACGACATCAATTCCAACATGTTTTTTCATTGAACAGACGGAGCATCAACGTATGAATGCGAACATACTACAACTGGTGCTTCAGATAGTGTTTCAAAATAGTCCGCAGCCATATTCACCGTTACTTGCAGATCCTTTATTATTTCTCCACTCGGTAACGAGAAGGTTTTTAATGATGAGAAGACGGTTAGAAAATATCTTTTTCTTTTACTTCAGAATAACGTAGAGCCTTCGTCCGGCAAGTGTCCTTCTTCTAACCATTGAGTAAGTTGCGTTTGCTGAAAACGCTTTAGTTCGAAACGAGCGACATTCCGTAGAGGACGCGCTTTCTGTCCGAGCAATATGTCTCCCTTCCGCTTTGCCTTCAAAGATAGCGAACAAATTTGATCTAGGAACTTCATGAGTTTAGATGAAACGGTGGAGTGAACGTGCTTACGACGACAATATGCTTTGCATCTAATGGCGAATAGTGCTAGAAAAGAGTGTGGGTGTAAGTGTTGCCTTCTCTTGACAAACACACATCCACACCCGGATGTGCCGATACTGGTGTCACTTTCTCATTCACATATTTACGTGTCCCATTTGTGCCAATATTGATATCACTTTCTCATTCATATGTTCGCGTGTTCTTTTCTGTCCTGTCTGATGAAGGTCATATTTGGGTCGAGAGATCCATGAGTCATCCTTCTTGTATCTTTATACAGTAATGTCCTTTTTTGATATCCTTCTTGTATCTAGTTATGGCAAGTTATCCTTCGTTACATGATCCGTGTATCGTTATACAATAATGTCCTTCCTGATGTCCTCCTTGTGGCTATATACGGTAAAATATCCTTCTCGATGTACTTCTTGTATCTATATAGGGGATCATCCCTATATCTCTATGGTTCAATCCTTGTATATGCTCTTAACCTTCTTTCCTTGTATGGAGAAATGAGATTGAACCAAAACTGGAATGCAAGACGCATATATAAAGATGAGAACAAAAGAAAAAGGGAGAGGAGATATATCATCGAACTGTATGTGAGAGAGTAGTTATACAATTCAATAGTGTTATTTTAGTGTGGCAGTGTGTTTCTTATTAACCCACGCATGTGGAATTGTTGTTGCTCATATAAAGATCTATTTAACCAGTAACGTAAAGATTTTACTGCATTAGGCCAACATCTCCTTCTATTATGCAACCTCCCGAACTTACATTTACCTATATTTACCTAACCATTCACATCATCATCTCAATTTTTACGTTACACCGGACAAGCCTCTCTACTACATTGTGTAAGAAAAAAAACTTTTAAAAAATGCTTGAATATGTGTGAAATGGTCATCCACTTTTCTAAAATCCCACAATAATCTACTCTTTCATAAAAAAAAACCTAAGTTCTTTTCATCAAGCCTCAGAGTAGTACACCCTTTTCAGTAAAACGTAGAATAATGAACCCTGATCCATAAAATCATAAACCCTTTTCATGAAAAGGTAGGTTCATAAACTTTTATATATTAAATCATAGACCCTTATTTTGAAATACTCTCCTAAACCCCTAAAGGGCTTATAAAAATTTGTATATAGAGCAAAGCGTTGTTGTTCTACCCTTATTTTTTACAGCGCATGCTTCATCCGAAGATGTTTGTGCAAGTGCCACACTCTTGTCGAACTCTCGAACAACACCT